CATAAATAATTGAATCGGAGAAATTTATAAAAAACCTTTAAAAAATAATGAAGTTCCGCGTAGTTAAATACTTGGAGACTTGAATATAAAAATACGATGATAGACAGATATGAAAATTTTGTGCTATCAGTACACGAGATATGCTAGATACTTAGATACTAGTGCTAGATAGATACTTAAAAGTGACAATAATTAGGGTTCTTGTGAGATAGCACGGACCATGACGAGAATCTTTCCAAAAGTGAGAGAGAAATTTAATAAATGTATTTGGGGACGGGAATTTTGCCGATGAAAGAAAACAATGCAGAGGGAAAACGCATTAGGAGGAGACCGCAATAAAAGTTTTGCCCGGGCGAAAATCCTTGACCGTAATAAAGACATTTAGGATAATCCTCAACATTTGGTTTTTTTGAATGGATATAGCNTCCTTGACCGTAATAAAGACATTTAGAATAATCCTCAACATTTGGTTTTTTTGAATGGATATAGCAATCGAACGATTTGTCAGTTGCCCAAATTACACAAATGAAGTATTTGGACTTGGGGTACTACGTGGTTATTTAAAAGAAAATGGTTAAATTTGACAGGATGTCTCGACTTGGGGAACTACGCGTTTATTGAAAAGAAATAATCCCAGGCAATTGAGAGATGAATAAATACAGTAAAAATGGAAAGACGGAAAATTCAAGAAATAAATGGGACATCTCTGACTATTTTCGAAATGGGAAAAATTGAAAGAGTGTAAAAAAAAAGAATAAATAATATTTTTTAAATTGTTATAAAATAACGACGAAAAAATATTCCACGACGGAACATACTCCCCTATTGAGAATGTAATGATCAATATATTATATTTTTTCGTTCTTACTAATTACTAATGGTGCCAGCTTCTTAACGTTCCTATTGAGGACTCCTTTGGGTGTCTTGAGTGTCACAGTCCGAATGACACCATCAGCTCCTGGATGAGTCTGGGTCACTCGACCCATGGCCCACTGTTGGGGTGGGAGATTGTCTTCCTTCAACAAGACAATGGTACCTGTCGTTATGTGGTGCTCCCCATTCGCCCACTTGCTCCTCAAGTTGAGTTCGCTTATGTACTCGCGGTGCCAGCGAGTCCAGAAATCCTGTTTGAGCTTCTGGAGATGTTGCCACATAGAGAGTCGATTGGAAGGAACTTCTCGGAAGTCAGGACTCCTCAATGTGGTTAGTGCTTCACCAATCAGAAAATGACCGGGGGTGAGTGCTTGCAGGTCATTTGGATCAGATGAAAGACGTGTCAGCGGTCTGGAGTTCAATATGGCCTCAATCTCGATCGCTAAGGTGTTGAGCTGCTCGAATGTCAGGAGTTCGTCTGTGGCAATTCGTTTCAGATGGACCTTGAACGATTTGACGGCGGCTTCCCACAAACCGCCGAAGTGTGGAGACTGAGGGGGGATGAAATGCCACTTAATTGATTTCATCGTAGCAAATGATTGTATTTTTTGCTGATGATCCTTGTTCTGGAGGAAATCATGGAGTTCTCGGAGTTCATTGTTGGCGCCAACGAAGCATGTCCCGTTGTCAGAGTACACGTTACCACAAAGTCCTCTCCGCGCAATGAATCGACGAAAGGCAGCAAGAAAGGCCTCGGTGGTCAAGTCACTGACGATCTCCAGGTGTACCGCCTTTACAGCAAGACATACGAAGACAGCTACCCACACCTTCACACGGCCCCTATTGCGGAACTTCTTTTCCTTGATGAAGAAGGGTCCACAATAGTGAATGCCGACGTTGGTGAAGGGGCGGGACTCGGTGACGCGTGCTTCAGGAAGGTTCCCCATGATGTAGTTGACTACTGGTGGCTTGTGGCGGATACACTTAACGCAGGAGCCAATGATGTGTCGTACCCTATTGCGCCCATCTTGAATCCAGAATCGACGGCGAATGGCGCAGAGTGTAGCTTGAGCACCAGCGTGGAGATGTCTCTGATGCTCTTGATGTATCACGAGGTCAGTAACGTGATGTTGTCTGGGCAGGATCATGGGATGGCGTTGAGAGTATGGAATGTTGGAATTCCTCAGACGACCACCTACACGAATCACTCCCCGTTCATCCAGGAATGGGTTTAGCTTAACTAGTGGTGCTAAGGCGGCTGCCTTCTGTCCAGGAGTCTGTTTGCGGAGCAGGGCGATTGCTGGAGCCAAGCTTTCCTGCTGCACCCAATGTATAATCCCATGAAGAGCAGCAGCCATTTCATCTGGAGTGATTGGACCCTTGTTGTGAGTCAGGAAACGGCGACAGTAGGCGACAATGCGCTGAAGCTTGGTCAATGAAGAGTACCAAGCAAGCACGTTCCCACTGCGTTGTTCCAGGGCCGTCACGAAACAGTTCTCTGATGGAGGAGGTGGCTGATGTTTTCTCAACTCGGGAGGATCTGATGCGAAGTGAAGCTCTAGGGTAGGCCAGTGATGTTCATCTTGAAGCAGCCATGTTGGACCTTCTTTCCATAATGAAGGCTTGATGAATTCTTCTGGTGTCTGCCCTCGAGATACCAGGTCAGCAGGATTCTCGTGAGTTCTGACGTGCCTCCAGTTGGCGATGTTGGATTTCTGCTGGATCTCTGAGACACGATTGGCCACATATGGTAACAGCTTCGTTGGAGGAGTGTATAGCCAATGTAGAACCACTGTAGAATCCGTCCAGTAAATCACTTGCTGGGGCTGGATGTGGATGGTGGAGCAGACACTGGTCATCAACTTCACAAGCAGAACTGCCCCGCATAACTCCAATCGAGGGGAGAAGGGCTTGCTTGTCAATGGAGCTACGCGTGATTTAGCACACAACAAGAGCACTTGAGTGGTGCCATTGATGCTGATGGATCTGACGTAGACACAAGCGCCATAAGCTAGGTTGCTAGCATCGCAGAAGCCATGGAGTTCAATCCTCTCTGATTGTTGGCAGAGAGCCTTGCGTGGATACTCGAGATCTTGAAGTGTTGGTAGCTGTTGATAGAACTCTTTCCATTCCCTCTGGATATCGTCTGGCAGTGGAGAGTCCCAATTCAATTTCAACTTCCACAATCGTTGGATGAAGGTCTTGGCGATGACGATGACTGGAGCTAGGAGGCCCAAGGGATCGAAGATCTTAGCTGTTTCAGAGAGGACAATTCGTTTCGTTACCGGAGTATTTGCCTCGACTGATTTGACCTTATACTCGATGGAGTCACTCGTAGAGTTCCAGCATAATCCCAATGTCTTCAGTGCAGGAGAATCGGTGATAAGCAGATGTCTGTTGATGTCTTCTTCTGCTAAGTCGTTCAGCAGCGTGGGGTCATTGGAGGCCCACTGACGCAGGTTGAAGCCTCCCCGTTGTACCAGTTGCGTTATTTCGTTCCGAATAGCTACTGCTTGTTCACGTGTATCAGCTCCAGTTAAGAGATCGTCAACATACATGTCGCGTTTGATGATTTCAGCAGCCACAGGAAATTGCTGAGCCTCGTCAGTAGCCAGTTGGTGTAGGCATCTTATGGCGAGATATGGTGCAGCTGATAGCCCGAAGGTGACCGTATTCAGCTCGTAAGTTCGGACTGGACCATCATCGTTGCGCCACAGGATCCGTTGATATTTACGATCCTCTGGTCTCACAAGTACCTGGCGATACATCTTCTCGATGTCAGCTGTCAGGACATATTGGTGTAGCCGGAACCTCAGAAGAAGAGACAGGATGTCATCTTGGATGGTAGGACCAACATGGAGAGTATCGTTTAGTGAGATACCCGTGTTGATTTTTGCCGATCCATCGAACACGACTCTGAGTTTGGTTGTCAGATTTCCTTCCTTGAAAACGGCGTGATGCGAGAGATAGTAACCAGGATGTGAGATGTTGTGGGTGTTCACTTCAGTCATGTGGCCGAGGTCGAGATATTCTTGAAGTACTGCATCGTATTGATTTTTCAGCTCTGGATTCTGAAGCAACTTCCGTTCACAGGCCTTGAATCGATGATAAGCTCGAGAGCGAGATTCTCCAAGCTTACCAATTTTTTCGTTGAACGGGAGCGCCACGACGTACCTTCCAGTGGAGTCTCGTGAGAAATTAGCGGAAAAATGTTCTTCACAATGATTCTCGATAATGCTGGGTTCTGATGTAGCTTCTTCAATTTCCCAGAATTTTTGAAGATCGAACTGTAGGTTCTCAACGCTCGTGACATGACATGAGAGTGAAGATGTTGACTGTCGGACGGGAGCCTCTCCACCGATGACCCAACCGAGTACTGACTGCATCAAGTATAAGTCTGGTTGATCCTTGGAAGACAGGCGTCGCTTCGATGTCCAAGCATTGACAGTGTTGGACCACAGCCTAGGAGCATGTCAATGTGTCCAGGCTGATAGAATTCTGGATCTGCTAATGGTAGATCAGCAGGTATCTTAATGTTTTGATGATCAAGATGTTGATCAGGAACCAAAGATGAGATGTTGGGTACAGTCAGGAAGTGCAAGGTCTTCTTGAAGTTGTTAATCCGGGAACATATGGTTGCAGTGACTAGGTGTTTTGTGGAAGTATTAATGGAGTTCAGAGCACCAATGGGAATAACGAAGTCTCTTTTGGGCAATTTCAATGACTTGGCGAGACGTTCAGTCATGAAATTCGTAGTGGAACAGGTGTCCAAAAGAGCACGACAGTTTGTGGGTTGATTGGAGTGATTGAGTACCTTTAATTGAGCGGTTACCATCAGATCGCAGGTGGAGGTGTTGACGATGAAAGACTGTCGTGTTGGCATACTGGTGCTCTGATCCTCCCCTAGTCATGTTGACTTCTCCGTAGAGGATTGAGCTGGAGGTTTAGCAGCTGGCTTCACTGGAGGTTTATTGACAGGATTCCCGACTGTAGATCTTTGTTTCCAATGGAGGAGTGAGTGATGACGTTCGTGGCAATGGATGCAATCGAAACGTGAAGTACACTGCTCTCGTTCGTGATTGGCACCAAGACAGTTGATGCACAATGCTGATTGTTTGGCGATTTTATAGCGCTCTGCTGGTGAGAGCGCCTTAAACCTTGGGCATTTGACGATTCTGTGGCCTTCCTTGCACATGGCACAGGCGGTTTCTGATGAGAGGAATGCCTGCCTCCCGCGTTTAGAGTGACTCGAACGTTCGTTGACTGTTGAGGGAATAATTCGTGCTGAACACTGCGAGCGATTCTCCAGGAAGTCCAACAGGCTGGTGTATGTAGGCAGCTTGGAGTCCTTAATCTTGAGCTCCCAAAGAGTGAATAACTCTGGGCTGATTTTTGATTGAATTAAACAAATCAGCGGTAAATCCCATTGGTCCACTGGTTGGTTGAGGTTTTTCAGCGATCGAATGTGTTGATTGATGGTATCAACAAGATTCCCGAGTGCCTCTGGGGTATCCTTTATGGCCGGAAGATCCTGAAGTGTCCACCAATGTCTGGAGAGGATTTTTCTCTCACAGTTGTATTTTTTATCGATCATCTCCAATGCAGTTTCATAATTGCTTTCGGTATTAGGGAGAGCTTCGATGACCTTGGCGGCCTTGCCAACTAGTAGACTGCGGAAGTATTGAAGTTTGTGTACCTTTGAGAGTTGTGGATAATTGTTGATCCCAGACATGAAAGTGTCGATGAGCGGTCGAAAATTTTCATATTCGCCATCGAACTTCACGATCTCCAACTCCGGTAAACGCATGAGGGCGAGAAGTGATGCGGCTGTGTCTGCTGTCGAACCACTCGCTGAAGTCTCCAATGGGTTTTCACTGGTGTCATTCCTGGATCTGGGCAGAGGAGACACGATGGCTGCAACTTCCCCGAGGACGTCGTAGTATTCACCCTCGATTTCGAAACGTTTCGGTATTTCGGTTTCATCCAGTATTTCCAGTTGCTCTTGGAGAGCTTCAAAAACTGCGAATTTTGTTTTGAGAGTCTCGGCGGCAACGTGTAATTTTTCTGGAACCTGAAGTTCAACTGCTAGGCTCTTGTAATTGGCCACTGCATTTTTGAGGTGTGTAATAGCCCCAATGATGTGGCCACGTTGGTGTCTAAGCGTTGAGAGTTCAGGCATGATTGTTTATTCGGAATTCACAGGTGTATAGGTGAATGTGCGTCGTTCACTTCACTACACTGCACTGGTGTTACTCACGATCATTTTTCAACAGTTTTTAATAGAATGTCAATAACGATATCGGGATTCACAGGTATTTTGAAGAAAGTGCGTCGTTCACTTCAACACGATACACTGGTTTTATCCACGATGAGTTCAAAATTAAAAGTTCAAAAGGTTTTTTTTTTATTCACTCGCGATTCAAATATCCGGCTCAAAGGACCAATAAAAGGTTTGTTCTTGAATTAATGAATCAAGCGGTTGGATTACAGTAATTAGTAAAACTCTACACAGGTAATAATTTTAAAAACACTGTAACATATAGTTTGCTAAAATTAATAAAACACTGTACACTTTACACTGATTTTACATGAATAATTGAATCGGAGAAATTTATAAAAAACCTTTAAAAAATAATGAAGTTCCGCGTAGTTAAATACTTGGAGACTTGAATATAAAAATACGATGATGGACAGATATGAAAATATTGTGCTATCAATACACGAGATATGCTAGATACTTAGATACTAGTGCTAGACAGATACTTAAGTGACAATAATTAGGGTTCTTGTGAGATAGCACGGACCATGACGAGAATCTTTCCAAAAAAGAGAGAGAAATTTAATAAATGTATTTGGGGACGGGAATTTTGCCGATGGAAGAAAACAATGCAGAGGGAAAACGCATTAGGAGGAGACCGCAATAAAAGTTTTACCCGGGCGAAAAACCTTGACCGTAATAAAGACATTTAGGATAATCCTCAACATTTGGTTTTTTTGAATGGATATAGCAATCAAACGATTTGTCAGTTTCCCAAATTACACAAATGAAGTATTTGGACTTGGGGTACTACGTGGTTATTTAAAAGAAAATGGTTAAATTTGAAAGGATGTCTCGACTTGGGGAACTACGCGTTTATTGAAAAGAAATAATCCCAGGCAATTGAGAGATGAATAAATACAGTAAAAATGGAAAGACGGAAAATTCANGGAATGAAACCAATGGTATTCGATGGAGAATTAAATTCCCCATCCTTCAACCCCAGTTTCATTCCTTAATCTCTGTAATAAAAAAATAAAAACTGCGACGAAATTCGCGGCGCTATAAAAAACTCAATGGTTTCTCGGCGCAGAGCGATTCCCCATTAACTCGCCCGCTAATTAAAAAAT